AGTTGTAGTCCTTGAATCGACAATATATACGACCCCATATCCCAAAACATGGAATTCGCCCGACTATCAGCTGATTTGATTTTGCGCGATTGCCTCTGATCGACTTCTTCCGTCTCCTAATCATTTTTATCTTTTATAGTAGACTCTTTGGCAGTAACTATTTCAGAGAGGCTTATGAATTTTGTGCTTACTCTACAAGCATCTTCTTCATGTAGTCGGGCTTGCACTTTCTCTGGATCCATACCCACTACAAAAATGTCACAGACGATGGTAGACAACTCTGACAAGTTATTGCATTTGGGTGCAAGGTTTTTGACTAAGGCATCCCAATTCAGCAACAGTCTTATTTCTACGTTTTTTGGCTTGATAAAACGCATGTCTCGCAGAAATGTAGGACTCTACTGACTTATAGTTATAATTTAAAAGACCAATAATTGTAGCATAAAATCTTATTATACGAGTATGATGTGCTTGGAACGCATAAGCTGTATACGATTTTATGAATTTTTTCACTAACTGATAAAAGCAATAAAGCTTCTTTTGAACTACGTATACAATTCCGTTTGTCAGAAAAAAAAGTATGTGCTAAGATTCGAATATGGCCATGTCAATTTTAGGTTCAAATATTCCATTGGTTCCAATTACTTGATAGAATTTAATTTTTCTATTGGTATCAGTCATTCGTTTTTTTTTTGTTAAATTCACCGAACTTATTAGACAAGTAAATAATTTTAATTTAATTTTAGTACGAGTAGACAGTATCTTCTGTAGGTGAAATATAGAATTTTCTTAGTCGCCGATTTGTTATATACTAATATGAGAGATAACACAAAACATAAAGTGAATAACAAAATAGTGTTATTACTATCACATTTTATTTTGGACGCTACCAATGAATACGATTCATAGCAAATTGCATAGTGTCAATTTTTCTTGTTTATACTTATTTTTAGCTCAAGTTATTTTTATTGTAATTTTTTGTTTTGTATAATGTTGCATATTATATATTTTCTATCTTTGTATTATACTTCTTATTATACTGCGTATTTTTCTGTATATATTGTACTTTTTATGCGTTATTTGTGTAATAAATGCGTATAAAGACTTTTAATATTAAAATAAAACATAAATACAATTATAATTTTAAATATTGAATTTTTAACAAGCTTATATATAATTTTATAAAGGTAAAGAGACTTTAAAATGCCCCACACTTAGCGGAAATGCAAAAATGTGTCTTACTGAAAGTTTTAAAAAAATATGTAAGTATAAATTACAATTTTAAAGATGTTACTTTTTATTACAGCATGATTATTTATGGATAACATTATACATTTTTTTTTAATTTTAATAATAATTTGTGGTGTTTTTTTAGTGATACTTTAATTTTTTATTTTACAATATTACCCATACATTTAAACTTTGAAAGTCGGGGGGGGGGGGCAATAGCGCATCTATATTTATACTTTATTCAGCATTGATTAATTGAAACTGTTATAAAAAAAAAAAAAATACAAACCGGGTTTGATTAACTATATAATTGAATTGTTTTTTTGTTACAAAGTTATTCGTTAGTAGTAAATAAAACTTATTACTTGTTTTAATAGAAAAAATTTTACTTTATATATTTCTTTTGTTTGCATAATATTGACCATAAAGTAAATTATTTCTGTATAAAGTAATTACAATAAATTATAATTTACTTGGAGATATTTAATTACATAGAACGACTATTATATTTAAGTACTATTTTAAATGGCGTATATCAATTATTAACATTTCACCACAAAATACAATTATAAACTTAACAATGATTTGATGTCATTACGTTTTAAGTTTAAGAATACTTGTGACTTGACAGATACAATTCTATACTTGAATCATAGCATTAGTAACTCACTCGCATAAATTACATCTTTCATTTTCAAAAGTTCACAGGGTACTAAGGCGCACAGTTCGGTTTCTTTTACTATTTTCTCAGGCGTCCCCAAGGGGACCACCGTTGTCCTCTATATTTTCTTAATCTCATTAAAGGGAATTTTGCAAAAGTAAGACGTTCCTTTTTTTTGCAGACGACATTAACATTTTGTAGTATTACCTTATCGGTGGACTGTTGCCTCCTACATATTGAACCAAATATTTTTCTTTATTTGGTTCATCCCCAGGATCTATCACTGTATGTTGGAAAATGTCATTTTTAACATTTTCAAGGAATCGTAATTCGCTACTGTACGATTACTTTCTTCATAGTATTCCACTCCAACGAGTTTTTCTATTGAAGAAAATCTTTTCTTTTTTAATAACCCATTTACGCATTCTCTATAGTTAGAGATCACTTAAATGCGGTAGCTAAAACGCCCTTGTAAGACATGGGTTTTATGTTAAAAATATATTTTGCATTTATTAATTGTTCAAATTAATCTCATTTTTATCACTGTTATGGATAAATATATCAAAAAGGTTTGATTCACTATATAATTAATTTGTTTTTTTGTTACAGGTGATCCCCAATACAAAAAAACATACACAGCTACTAGTTAGTAGTAAATAGAACTTATGGCTTGTTTAAAAGATAAAATTTGCTTTGTATATTATTTTTTATACACACAACAATTGACTTTAAGTTGGAGAAGCTTCATTTAAGGGTTTTAGAATGGAGTAGTAATTTAACACCATTTTAAAAAAGGGATTAGATCACAATTATTGAGCGAATACAGAATACACTTTGGCCTACATCGCTTTTTTACTAAAAATACTTCATCCTCTCACGACTACATCACTGTCCGCACTTTTCATAACATAGCTTCTTTACCTTGGTTGATCATCGGACAAACGCTGTACTCTATTTTATTTGTTCACCCCTTTTAGGCTCCATTAATGCTCCTTATATTCTAATTACCATATATTGTTTTGTTCTTTCCCAGTCTGTTTGTACTTATTAGGACATTAAATTTTAAAATTAATACGAATATATTAATAATTATTATATTTTTAAACGAGTTATTCATTTATACATTTATACAGGTTCTCAAACTTCACGATTGAAAGAACTTGGAAAGGCGAGAAGAGATATTACTGGAAACGCTATAATAAATGTACTTACCCAAAAACTAAGTGATTATGAAGGTGATTATAGAGTTTTAATGCTAATTATTTTTTAACAACATACATTTTTTACAGCGTTATTCAATATGGATAACTCAATATTTTATAGGCTACCTAACACAACCAATATTTTTTATTATTGGTTTATAATAAAAATTTGTATTTTTTTTTCTTTTTGTGACCCTTTAGTTTTTGTTTTTTATAATATTTATTAACATACATTATATTTATATAACTTTATATATAATTTTTTCAAGATCTCTAACATCTAGAATAATTTGGTTAAAGTTACTGGTCGAAAAATATTTTTGGATAATTCATTTTAAATTAATTTTCCTTACCTTAGTTCCCTCCATTAATCTTCCTTAACCTTCCGTTCTGTTGATAACTTCAATATCCCCAAATCATTATCGATTACTTACAATTATCTTAAACGGGAAATTTTCTTTTTTTCACTCATAATAATTATTACAATTATTTTGATAACTCTGGTCGCTTTTTCGATTTATCCATGAAATTTAACCTCGTGTTTTGGTTCTTTTAAACATGTTAGAAATTTTTCAACTTTCTAAAAAAATTTCTTAACACTGCAATAGTCACGCCAAATCTAATAGATACACGGCTTATTGTTTTTGTAATAAAACAATCGCGCACACTGTTATCAATTTACACTTTTGACTTTTCCTCAGACTAGGTATAAGGTAGATGACAATTGGCCGATAAATTTGTCCATCATTTGGGGTTTAGGTTTAGGGCATCATATATCATCTAAAAAGTCAACTTTTTCTGATTTTTTATTTTTATGTATTATTTATGTCGTTTGTATACAGTGATGCCTCCCAATTGCATTTATTTTATTCTCAAATAATATTTCGTTAGGTTAGGTAAAATTAGGTAATTTTTTAAATTAGAATAGGTCATTTTATTCCAATAGTCGCGTCGTATTTCAATGTTCCACACGATATGTAGGTACAAATACCTAATTTTATAAGTAAATATGTTAAATTGCGAATGATTAATTTAATATATATGCTGTTTAAGTTTTGTGTACTTATATACTCCCATACTTGAAGTCAATTACAGGTAATTATAAAAAGTTAATCGTGTATCCAACAGATACTGCGTGTCAACCGGTGTTACACCAAATGACACGACTATTGCAGTGTTAAATTTTTGGCAACTAAAAATAAAAACAAATTTATAAATTATAAACTCATTTTTAATGACTGTGTTACTAAAAATTAAAAACATATATTTTTTCAGGAAGCTGAGACTTTTTCTAATATACATATTATATAAATAATTGTATAACTTGTTTTAATTACGTTTAGTAATTAAAGGGGTCAGTAGATAAAGGTGTTAACTAAATTTTTTTTCGAAAATGCATTTTATTGCATGAATAAAAGGGTTATAGTGTTATAGTATAGTATAGAGGATCTCTAGACCGCTATGTTTCCTCTTATAAGTTATTTCGTCTATTGAATGTACAAAAGTTCCATAGCTTTCTTGTAATATTTAGTTACAAAAGTGGCGTTCCTGAACAATTTCAAAAATGTCAGTTAACACCTTTATCCACTGAACCCTTCAATTGTGTCTTGCACAAAAAGGAAAAAAGATGGCTAATAAGTTAAATATGCCAATATTTAACAACTGTTTTTTTATTTTTAAGCTGACTTTAAATCGGGTGGCCGGAAGTATCCTGTTAAAAAGATTTGTGTTTTGATTGGAATATGGGTTAGTCTAAAAATGTCTTTAAACACGTATCCTATAAACAAAGATGATATTTGTGAAGTACTATTTACAATACCTCTCAATAGTATTGTAAAAATCGGATCATTTGAAGGCATATATTATCAACTAGAAGTAAACGCAATTCATATTGTAAAGAAAAAACTAACTGTACTACTAAAAGAGAATTTAAGTATTCCACTTGAGTTTACACTTGAATAAATAAATATATAATTTTGTCCCAATGCCTTAATTTTTTTTATATCTTATAGATTTATTTATTGTTTTTATTATGGTGTTATGATGTTTAATTATCATTAATATTAGCATTATTATCTTTATAATCATCAGCTTTATGTCAAATGCAAAATGAAATAAATAAATTCTAAATAAAACTCACGATTTTAAACACATTTGCTGCAAAATTATTATTATTATTAACTTTATTATTATTATTAGTATTGCATATCTATGGTTTTATTTTGACCGAATGTGGACTTCTTGACCTAGATTGGTTAACTAAGAGGGAGGTGATGGTAAGCTCTAATCAGACTGCATATTGCCCAATGGGAAATAAGGTTCGTCAAATATTTAGATATGATTGTTTTGTGTTTAATCTAGTTTTAATGATTATATTAAAAGTCCTAAAAAACATCGTTTGAGCGGTGCTCGACAAAAAAAAATATTTTTAATTTCAATCGACCAGACAACGAAATAAAGAAAAGTAATATGCAGTACGGAAGTAAATTTGTTATAATCAGCTATACATTTTTATAGACGGGCGATCAATCTAATAGTGTCCACCCTAATACTAAAAGTTAATTTTTAAACTCATAATTGCCATTAGGTACAATGATCGTGTTCATATTTGTATATTTATCTTTAAACATGGACCTCCGTTACTTAATCACTTACTACTACTACTACTAGGTAATACTCACTTACGTATAATACTTTTTTACTGTGCTGGTTTATACTGTGCAATTCTTTATACAAATTTTCTTGTTAAAATTGAAAAAAATGATAAAAATATTAATAATATATAAGTTAGATTTGTTGTTGTTTGGTAATTTAGAATTTAACATATAAAATGTCTTTATACCTTTATTTATATACCGTTTTTAGACCATATATTTTGAAAAGAAATTTCTGATGCGTAATATACTGACGATGGTCAAACACCTTTAATTTTAAGTTTGATTTTATATTATATAACCGAATGTCCGTAATGCTTATAAAATGTAAAATGTTGGTAGGATCACAAAATATTAAAATAACTAAAAATGACATTTGAAGTACCATAAGTACAAATTGCACATTTGATTGAAAAAATATATAAAAACATTATTTTTAGATAATTATCTTATTTGCGTATAAAATTGAAAATCCACAACATCCTCAATACATCAAATTTAACAAATAAATCTTTTCATTTGATTAGTCCAACCCATATTTAATAAAATGGACAGTCAACTATAAATTGAAGTGATGTTCGATTCAAAGAAACTGCCGAATATTTAAAATTTTAATAGCAATGATAATCAAAAAATATTTCATAAGTTAATATTATTTGGCATAAAAATTATGCAAGTTTATTGTTGATTTTGTATTTGTTTAGACTTCAAGTAGAAAGCAACAGCTATATCTATTTCAGGCAAATTATTGTCCAGTGAAATACAGTCCGCTCCGCTAGCCAATTTGTCTGTGATTCTCATGATCTCACAGGTTCATCAAGATGATCTAAAACAAAATAAATGTAATGACTTTTAACATAAATATCTCTCAATTCCTAAAAAACACTTAACCTATAGTAATATTACGGTTATTTTTTATGTTCTCAATTATCTATTTACACAAATAGCCAAATACAACCAAAAAATTAAAAATTGTAATTTAATCAATTGATAATATTACTGTATTTCAATTCAATGTATTGCAAAGTACATATGATATTTTGAAGCATTAATATGAAATATCCTAAACGTATGCCATTGTATTGTTTGGCAATCAAACACTGTAATAATATCAGTGACAAATTGTACATAATGATTTCAGAACGTTGATATTTTCCCAATATTTTTTCCTAAATAAAAGAAACTTATTAATATAAATTTATAAATTAAAATTGTCATATTTTTTATAAACAGTACTTACATTAAGTGCTGCAAATGTGATGCAAATAAAGTGAATACTTCCCGTGTCTAATATGCCCCTCCGCCTCTACAATGGCTTTTGTTTTTGTAAAATTAATAGCTGGTTAGTGAAACGTTTAATCTCATCTTAGGAATAGTTTAATATGTTAGTCAAAACAAAAAATGACTATGTAGCTTATGTTAATAGTATTTGAAAAAACATATCTGAGAAACTTACTTACACTGCATTGTTTTGGTCGACATAACAGATGCCATTCGAGCATAAAAAAACCATTGAATTAGTCGGCAATTGTTAATAGTATCGTTGCAATTGTTAAAGTAAGTAATATCATCAAAACTTTAAAACTAATGAAATCGTTCACTTCCGATATGTTTTTCTAATTTTCATATTTTTTCATCACATAGACCTTCGATTACTTTTAATCCACTTGTCCTATTCCAGTATACATCAAGACCATAAGTAGGTAATACTATCAGACTTCAAAAGTTGTAAGTACGCTTTCAAACAGAGATGGATGAATTTTAAATACGTTTATCTAAAAATAATATACACAAATTTATTTCATAATTAATATACTAAACATATGAATCCATGTTTCTGTATAATATTTTATTTTAAATCAACTTTAATGCCAAGTACCATATTTTAAGATAGAGAAAGGTTCAAATGTTGAAATTTAAAAATCCGACAGTTTTTTTTGAGACTTTTCTAGTTTTTGTATAATAATATTATAAAAAAAAAATTATGATTTGATATTTAATAATAATATTGATTTGACATACATTAACTAACTTTTGACAGTATCTATTCCTAAAGTGCTGTTTTTATCTTATTAACTATTATTATTGATTCCTAAAACTACAAACTTTTTGCAATTTACATATTTTATTATTTAAAACTACCGATGGTCCAATGTCGGAAAAATAAAATATTCTTTTAAAAAGTAACCTAAGTATCATAGTGATTCATACCTAATACTTACTGGACCTAATATGCCACACGGCTCCTGCTCTGGCTTTTGTTTAATGATATTAATGATCATAACACATGATTTTTGTAAAATCAATAACTGGTTAGTAAAACGTTAAAACTACGCTTGAAAATAATGTAAATATGTTAGTCAAAACGAAAAATGACTCGTCGCTTATGTTAATATTATTTGCAAAAATAATTCTGGAAAACATACTTACATTGCGTTGTTTCCGTCGACATAAAAGATTTTATTCGACAAGTCATAAAAAAACCTTTGAAACATTCGGTTTAACTATCATTGAAATTGTTTAAGTAAGTAATATTATCAAAACTTCTAATGTTAAAGTACAAAAGGTAGTTTAATTGTTCACTTTCAATATATTTTTCTAATATTCATATTTTTTCAGCGTATAGACCTTTGATAACATTTAATCCACTAGTCCTATTTCATTGTATTTCAAGGCCATAAGTAAGTAATACTATCAGACTTTTACTTAAAATCAATTGTAATAGCAAATACCATTTTTTTTAAAATTAAATCTTGCGGAGGAATGTAGAAATATTGAAATTTAGAATTGAGGTTATTTGAATATAGGGGCATGGCTGATATACATATATATTTATTTATAATTATAGCGCAATATGGTTTTTTTTTTTCTACAAGTAATGTAGACAAAAAATTACATAATATGTGTGTTACATAAGATGGATCACCCGGTATAATGTTTATTTAGAGTATGTGCGGTATAGATGAAATATATATAATGAATATATATATATATATATATATATATATATATATATATATAAGTTTACACTAAGTGATACACTTAGTTCACATAAGCGCTTGTTGTTTTATTGTCCGTATACACATAATAACATGTTGACGCGAAGTTTGTTAGATATATGTACATACAAGTTAGCTAATATATATTATATACAGGCTTATTTTTTATCAGAGCAGGAGGAAAGGTAGAGTGTAGTATTTTTTTAACTGCCTGAATTTCGCCAACCCACTTAGTTTCCCATCCTATTTTCTAAACTTTTATAACTTTAAAAATACTTGTCCAAAACTGGTTATCAACCATTCAATTTTTTTGTACGTTTTCTAAATTTAAAAAGCTTATGGAATATATGCGTTACCGTTTAAGTTTCAAAAACCCCTAAAAAAAAAAACTAAGTTAGGAAGGGGGTTGAACCAAAAAAAATTGTGAAAAATTAAAATTAGGTACAAGTATAAAAACAACACAAAAAAAAAAAATGAAATTTCTTATATAACCCTATGACATATTGGGTGGCCTATGATAAAAAAAATAACCCTGTATGTATACATATTTGTAGTATTGTTATTATCGGAGAAACCCATAAAACCAAAAACATGTTTATAAAAAAAATGTATTGAAAATATAGTGTTTCATACCTCATACTTCTTATGTCTAATATGTCCCACCGCCTCAACGATGGCTTTTGTTTTTGTAAGTTCAATAACTGGTTAGTAAAACGCTTAGGAATAATGTAAATATGTTAGTCAAAACGAACAACGACTATGTTGCGTATGGTAATAAATTTACAAATACATTTTTACATTGCATTCTATAGGTCGACATCATATAGGCAATTCGATATACCTAAAGTAAATCGGGCTATAGTAAAACATGTTATCGTGTTTCTAGATACAAAAAAACACACATAATAGGAATACTAGCTCAGCATCGATGCTAAAAAACAGCTTTGTAAATAAACTAACAACGGTCCACTGCAAAATATGTTTTTTTTTACTGTATTGCCGAAATATGAACAACCAAAATGTACATAGAAGTAGAGCGTAGTCGCAATTTTAAATTAAAAAAAAAATTGTTCGTAGTTTCTTCCTGCTATGCTTATGTTAAAAGTTTTTCATCCATACCGCACATACTCCAAATAAACATTATACCGGGTGATCCATCTTAAGTAAAACATTTCTTATGTATTTTTTGGTCTACATTACTATGAAATAAAAACCATATTCAATTATTATAAAAATTCTCTAAGTATTGAAAACTACAGTAAAATATACAAGCCCATAAATATATAGAAAAAATTAATTTTCAAACATT